CTCAACTTCATCAACGTGGCGAGCCTTGCACGTGAGAGGCACAGTGGAGGTGGAGTTCAAAGAAGAATGAGAAATTTAATGGTTTCAATTTGCCCTTGTTTTTTCTTTTTGTTTTTCGTTTTATTTTTATTTTTGCATGTTATCACTGTGCCCGTTTTTTGCTTTCATTCTTTGTTCCGCAAAGTGCGCTCTTTTAGTTTGTAGTGATGTGACAATATATATACTAGTTCAATCATGCCCTCGGTCGGTGCTATGCTCGCAAGCAATCAGAGACATGCAGAAAAGCCTTGTAATGGATAAACATGGGCTATTTTTCCCGAGCCCCTTTTGGAGACGAGATTCAACTGCATTTGGCCAGGATTGCAATCAGATGCATCCACAAAAGTGACTCGGACGATGGCCCGCCGCCTACTGCGCTGCAGCACAGGCGACATGGCAATCCTCTCTTGCTCTATCGTTGCAGTTTCTGATTGAAAAAAAAAAAAGTGTCAAAACTTTGAGCTTACAACAGGACCATTTCAACTGTATTTAGCCACCAATTACAGAACGATACATCCAGAAAGGAAAAGCCTCTAAAAACTCTGCCTGTTCAATTAAAAATGAAGCCACAAGTTGGTGACGTCAAAACCATGGCCTACATCATCAAGTACGACCCGTGAGCTTCTTGCCTTTGGCATTTGACCATTCACACCATCAGATATATAACGCTCTCTCTCTCTCTCTCTCTCTCTCTCTCTCTCTCTCTCTCTCTCTCTCTCTCTCTCTCTCCCCGCATGATTGACTGTACTATGGAGTGGAACTACAAGTGTTGCCCTTGACACCGTACCCCTCTTCCTGCTCTTGAAGATAATGTTCTCATGTCGGACACGAAGGTCGAAGGATCAAAGCTTCGTACAGCGAAAAACTATGTAGATTCTGAACTCCGCGACTGTGGCTTACACTCAACAACTGACTCTATTGCTAGGACTCCGTTCAAAATCGCGACTGTGGCTTAAACAGGCCAAGGTACAAACAAAGGTTCGACTGACTCTACTGCTAGGACTCCGATACAACTGAACTCCGCGACTGTGGCTTATACAGGCCAAGGTACAAACAAAGGCTCAAGCTCAACCGAGTACCAGGCACTGAGGATCTGGTACAGTGGTGCTCAGAGACTGAGGATCTGGGACCACGGGCTCAAACACGCAGAGAGATTCGGGTACTTCGCTGCTTTCTCTAGTCGAAAGTCCTGCTTCGATGTCTCCTCACTTTGTGCTACCTTACACCACTGACAGCATTCAAGATGCCGAACTCTTTGCTGGCACCTTCGTGAATACTGTCCTGGTACTTAATTGGTACTCAGCTGCTTTCTCTAGTCGAAAGTTGCAACGATATCGATCTAAGGCTCTCAACCCAGATATCAGCCACTACTTCCCACTAAGTCCCAACTGAAATGGGACTAGAAGAAAGGTGCCAGCAAAGACTTCTACAACCAACCTGGTACCTTTAGGGTATCAGAGTCTTGATTTCACAATGGCCGTTCAGAGGGACCCCGTGGTCCCCGATCCTCAGTGCCTGAGCACCAGAGTACCAGATCCTCAGTGCCGGCGTACCTCAGCATCTCTGTCGCATAGTACCAGATCCTTGGTGCCTTCGTACCATAGCATGCCAAATGCACAGGCCTTTGTATCAGATCCTCAGAGGCTTTGTACCATGGTACCAGATCCTCACCAACTCTGTAGTAGAGTCCGTACCATGGTACCAGATCTTCACTGCCTTTGTACCGTAGTATCAGGTCCTCACTGCCTTCGTGCCAGATCATCGCCGCCCTTGTACCCTAGTACCAGATCCTGAGTGCCTTCAAATCTATCATAGTACCAGATCCTCAATGCCTTTGTACCATGGTTCCAGGTCCTCCTCAGAGCCTCAAGTCCTCCTCATAGCCTCTGTACCATGGTACCGGATCCTCAGCAACACTTTACCATGGTACAAGATCCTCACTGCCTTTGTACCATAGTACCAGGTCCTCACTGCCTGTGTACCAGATCATCGTCGCCCTTGTACAATAGTACAAGATCCTGAGTACCTTCGTATGCATCATAGTACCAGAGTACCAGATCCTCTGTACGATAGTACTAGGTCCTTTGCACCAGAGTACCAGAGTACCAGATCCTCAGTGCCTGTGCATTATAGTGCCAGATCGTCCGTGGTACAAATCCACTGAAACATTTGTACACAAAGATACTACCGTCTACCCCCGAGCACAATACACCCTCATTTTGGCTGTATCTGGCCGGAAATATAGCTCGTATACATTCATTTTTAGGATGCGTTATGTTCGGGGGAAGACGGTAGCTGCTCAATCGCTTTGAACCGCGATCGGTACACCAAGCAACCAGATCCTCCCTCACTGGCTTTCTACCACTCCCTCTGCTCTTCCTTCGGTGCAGCAGCAAGTTGGTTCCAGGCTGCTATACCCTGGTACTGCCGGTACCTCACGGTACCAGCCAGAGGTACAGAGTTGGCAACGATGCGAGTTTGCGAGGATGCCCCCACCTCGGCAAGCTGAGCTGGGGGCATCTGCTTTTCTCTCCAAGTTCACGCACCTGACTGCAAATGTGGTCCAAGTGCAAAATCTGGACCACCAAAAAGCGGCGAAACAAGAAGCAATTTCAAATTCGACATTTGAATGAGAGTGCGAGCACAGAGGAAAAGCTGAACAAAAAAGAAACGAATCACGGCCACCTTCATCATTGCTGCCCGCGACCGCCTCGACCGCTAGATCCGCCTCGACCCCCAAAGCCATGGCTACGCCCCCCTCTTCCAAATCCACCTCGACCACCGAATCCACCTCGACTGCCGGATCCACCTCGACCGCCGGATCCACCTCGACCGCCAAATCCACCTCGTCCGCCAAATCCACCACGGCCACCAAATCCACTTCGGCCGCCGCCAGGGCGTGGAAGTTTCAGCGACTTCACATCACGCCGGTTTCTTTGGTCCCCCCACTTCCTCGCGTCCTTCGGATCGCTCTCGTCGTCTGCACGCGATCGCCTCAGGCTGAATGTGATCTCCCTGCTGCCTCCCAAACGCGTGTTCGCACCCATCGCGTTTGACTCCTTTCCCGTCTTGTTTGCGGCTAGGCGTTCTTCAAGCGTCATCGCGTGAATTGCCGCAACCGACTGATTGTTGCGGAATGCCTGTGCATGCTCCTCATCTTTGATTTCATAAAATCTGTGAGGAGGAAATCACAGTTTCAAAAAAGGAAAACAAAAAAAAAGGCAGATTCCAAGAGGAACAAATCATCCAATGGAAGACAGAAACAGAAACTCCAATCAGAATGAATTTAAATAAATAAATTAAAAAAAAAAAAAAAAAAAAAAAAAAAAAAAAAAAAAAAAAAAAAAAAAAAAAAA